TGAGAACAAGAGTCACATGACTCTCACTTGCAATCAAAAGCTAAATATGATTAAGCTTAGCAAGGAAGGCATGTCAAAAGCTGGAAAAGGCCAAAAACTACGTCTCTGGTGCAAAACAGCCAAGTTGTGAAAGCAAAGGAAAAGTTTTTGAAGGAAATTAAAAGCGTTACTCTAATGCATACAAGAATGATAAGAAAGGAAAACAGCCTTATTATTGATATGGAGAAAGTTTTAGTGGTCTGGATAGAAGATCAAATCAACCACAAAATTCTCTGAAGCCAAAGACTAATCCAAAGCAAGGTCCTAACTCTCTCCAGTTCCATGAAGGATGAGAGAAAAGTTTGAAACTAGAAGAGATTGTTTCATGAGGGTTAAGGAAAGAAGCCATCTCCATAACAAAGAAGTGCAAGGTGAAGTGTGATAAATGCTGATATAGAAGTTGCAGCAAGTTATCCAAAATATCTAGCTGAGATAATTGATAGAGGTAGCTACACTAAACAATAGATTTTCAACGTAGACAAACCAGTCTTCCATTGAAAGAAGATGCCATCTGGTATTCTTATAGCCAGAGAGGAGAAGTCAATGCCTGGCTTCAAAGCTTCGAAGGACAGGTTGACTCTTTTGTTAGAGATGAATGCTATTGGTGACTTGAAGTGGAAGCAAATGCTCATTTACCATTCCCCAAATCCTAGGACCCTTAAAAATTATGCTAAATCTATTCCGCCCGTGCTCTACAAATGGAATAACAAAGCCTGGATGACAGCACCTTTCTTTACAGCATAGTTTACTGAAGATCTTAAACCCACTGTTGAGACACCCACTGTTCAGAAGAAGAGATTCCTTTCAAAACATTACTGTGCATTGACAGTGCCCAAGAGCTCTAATGGAAACATACAAAGAGATTAATGTTGTTGTGCCTGCTAACACAACATCCATTCTACAGGTCATGGATCAAGGAGTATGTCTTGTGTCTCTGTGTCATATTGTGAAGTCATTATTAAGAAATACATTTCAGGCTGGGCACGGTGGCTCACGTCTGTAATTCCAGCACTTTGGGAGGCTGAGTGGGTGGATCATGAAGTCAGAAGATCAAGACCATCCTGGCTAACATGGTGAAACCCCATCTCTACTAAAAATACAAAAAGTTAGTCAGGTGTGGTGGTGGGCGCATGTAGTCCCAGCTACTCGTGAGGCTGAGGCAGGAGAATGGTGTGAACCTGGGAGGCAGAGCTTGCAGTGAGCCGAGATCACAAAAACTGCACTCCAGCCTGGGTGACAGAGCAAGACTCCATCTCAAAAAAAAAAAAAGAAAGAAATACATTTCACAAGACTACAACTGCCATGGATAGTAATTACTCTAATGCAAGTTTGTCCAACCCATGGCCCATGGGCTGCATGAGGCCTAGAATGGCTTTGAACGCAGTCCAACACAAATTTGTAAACTTTCTTAAAACATTATGAGTTTCTTGTGATTTTTTTTAAAGCTCATCAGCTATCGTCAGTGTTAGTGTATTTTATGTGTGGCCCATGACAATTTTTCTTCTTCCAATGTGGCCCAGAGAAGCCAAAGGCTTGGACACCCCTGCATAATGGATCTGGGTAAAGTAAACTGAAAACCTTCTGGAAGATTTATCATTCTAGATGCCATTAAAAACATTCATGATTCATGAGAGGAGGTCAAAATATCCATGTTAACAGGAGTTTGGAAGAAGTTAATTCCAACCCTCATGGAGGACTTTGAGGAGTTCAAGACTTCAGTGGAGGGAGTCACTGCAGATGTGGCAGAAATAACAAGAGAACTAGAATTAGAAGTGGAACCTGAAGATGTAACTGAATTGCTGCATTCTTGTGATAAAACTTAAACAGATGAGGAGGTACTTCTTATGGATAAGCTAAGAAAGAAGGTGGTTTCTTGAGATGGAATCTACTCCTAGTGAAGATGCTGTGAACATTGTTGAAATGACAGCTAAGGATTTAGAATATTACATAAACTCAGTTGATAAAGCACAGTTTGAGAGAATTAAATTCAATTTTGAAAAAAGTTTTACTGTAGGTAAATACTATCCAACAGTATTACATGCCAAAGAGAAAATTTTCATGAAAAGTAGAGTCAATTAATGTGGAAAACTTTATTTTGTCTTATTTTAAGAAATTGCCAGAGACCCCCTGACCCCCAACCTTCAGCAACCACCACTCTGATCAGTCAGCAGCCTTCCATATCAAGGTAAGACCTTCTACCAGCAAAAAGATTACAACTCACTGAAGGCTCAAATGATTATTAGCATTTTTTAGCAAAAATATATTTTCTCTTTCTTTTTTTGTAACTTAATATTCTTTGGTCTGCAAGTGAATAATGCATTTTAAATTGAGGTATATGTACATTGGGTTTTTTAAAGACAAAATGGTGTTGCACACTTAATTGTCTACAGTGTAATATAAAAGTAACTTTTATATGCACTCAGAAACCAAAAAATTGGCATGAAACCATCTGGAATCAAACCTACAATATCTCCAAGGTGTATCTATAAATAGAAAGACATGCCATGCTCAAGAACTGGAAGACATAATATTGTAAAAATGGCAATCCTACTAAAATAAAATAAAATGGCAATACTACTCAATCTATAGGTTTGATGCAATCCCTGTCAAAATTCTAATGTACTCTTTTTAAAGCCCCCAAAATTGACAAGATGACACTAAAATTCATGTGAAATCGCAAGGGACTCAAAATAGCTAAAGCAAACTTGAAAAAGAAAAACAAAATTGGAGGGATTATGCTTCATAATTTCAAACTTACTACAAAGCTACAGTAATCAAAACATAGTAGTACTGGCATAAAAACAGGCATTTAGATTAATGGAATAGAATTGAGAGTCCAGTTATAAATTCTTACATTTATGGTCAAGTGTTTTTATGGCAAGGGTTCCAGGACAATTTAATGAGGAAAGATGAGTCTTTTCAACAAGTGGTTCTGAGAAAACTGATTAGCCACATGAAAAGAATAAAGTTGGACCCCTACTTCCCATTATATAGCACAATTAAGTATAAATGGACCCTAGGCCTAAATGTAAGAATTAAAACCATAAATCTCTTAGAAGAAAACATATGAGTGTTTTCATAACTTTGGATTAGGCAATGGTTTCTTAAATATGACACCAAAAGAACAAGTAATGAAATAATAGTTAAATGGAGATCATAAGACAATCTGTAGAATATACTTGCAAATCACATACCTTATAAGGGACTTTTACTCAGAATATATAAAGAACTCTTACAACTCATCAATAAAAAACCAAAACATCAAATTTTATAGAAAGGCAAAGGATTTAAATAGACATTTCTCTAAAGAAGACATACAAATGGTCAAGTAAGCAAATGAAAAGATGCTCAAGGTCTTAGTAAATGGGGAAATCCAAGTCAAAACCAAAATGAGATACTACTTTACTCCTACTAGAACAGCTAAAATAAAAAGGCAATAACAAGTGCTGACAAAAATGTGGAGACATTGGAACCCTCATACATTGCTGATGGGAATGTAAAAAGTGCAGTCACTTTGAAAAACAGTTTGGCGGTTCCTCAAAATGTAAAATATAAAGTTACCATATAATCTGAGCAATCCAATTCCTAGGTATATACCCAAGAAAATTAAAAAATATATATCCTCATAAAAATCTATACCTAGGCCAGGCCTGCTGGCTTATGCCTGTAATCCCAGCACTTTGGGAGGCCGAGGTGGGCAGATCACGAGGTCAGGACATGGAGATCATCCTGGCTAATATGGTGAAACCCTGTCTCTACTGAAAATACAAAAAATTAGCCAAGCGTGATGGTATGCACCTGTAGTCCCAGCTACTCGGGAGGCTAAGACAGGAGAATTGCTTGAACCCAGGAGGCGGAGGTTGCAATGAGCTGAGATCACGCCATTGCACTCCAAGACGGGTGACAGAGCAAGACTCCATCTCAAACAAAACAAAACAAAACAAAAACCTATACATAAATGTTCATAGTGGCACTATTCCTAATGCCAAAAAGTAGAAACAAATGTGATATATCCATATAATAAAATATTATTTAGCAATGAAATAATGAAGTACTGATACATGCTACAGCACAGCTAAATTTTGAGAATATTATGCTAAGGGAAAAAAGCCAGACACCGAAGGTCACCTGTTGTATGATTCCATTTATATAAAATGTCCAGAATAAGCAAATCTATAGAAACAGAAAGTACATTAGTGGTTGCCAGGGACTGAGGGGAGGGAGAAAAAGTAAGTAACTGCTAATGGGTACGTTTCTTTTGAGAGTGAGTGATAAAAATGTTTTGGAATTAGATAGTGATGATGGTTGCACAATCTTGTGAATATACTAAAAGCCACTGAATTATATACTATAATCTGGTTTTGGTTTATTTGTTTGTTTGTTTTGAGACAGAGTCTCACTCTGTTGCCAGGCTGGAGTGCAGTGGCATGATCTCAGCTTACTGCAACCTCTGCCTTCAGAGTTCAAGCAATTCCCCTGCCTCAGCCTCCCAAGTAGCTGGGACTGTAGGCACGTGCCACCACACCTGGCTAGTTTTTTGTATTTTAGTAGAGATGGGGTTTCATCATATTGGCCAGGATGGTATTGATCTCCTGACCTTGTGATCCACCCACTTCCGCCTCCCACAGTGCTGCGGTTACAGGTGTGAGCCACCACACCCAGCCTGTGGTATGTTTTATATCACATTAATTATTTCTCAATAACCAAAAAACAAGAAATACAGAAAAAAGTACCGCTGAAAATTAAGAAATCCAGTAAGGGTTTGGTCATACATTGATTCACAAACAGGAAACAAGGAAAGGAGGAAAAAAGGAAAGTAAGGAAGATAAAGAGATAGGAAAGAGAAACTAGGGGGCAAGGGAGAAAAGGAGAAGGGAAAAAAGGAAGGAAGAAAGGGGTAGCCTGACATTAGCTGGTGGGAGTGATGACATGCCTCTGGCTTCTCTGTCATGCAGGCTTACCTCGACATTAGCAGGACAGCTCCCTTGCGGGGTGTGATAGAAGTACACCTGCTGGACAGCCACCATCAAAGCATTTTTCTGAGCAGCTTGGCAAGCAAGAGTTACCTGCATATTTTCCACTCCTGAATGCAACAAGAGCTAAAGGAAGAAAATACGAAAAATATTAGGAATTTCTTGCATAAAGAAGTGAGTTGAGGGTTGAGATCACCACTTATTCAACATGTAAATATATGAATCAAACTGCCAAATGAGCTGGGATGCTTGCTACTCAGCCATAAGACTGAATCTGGTCTCTCCCTAAGCAGCATTTCATTCCAAGAAGGCAGCCTCCAGGCTTGATTTGCTCTATAGCTGGACACCATTAGATTTCCCCAATGGTCAGGAAAAGATGAATAGGCTCTGATGAACTAGCAAACATGTGCTCAGTGGCAGGCTCCTGTAAGCCAAGATTAGATCAATGTTTTAAAAATACACATACAGAAGCAAAGAAATCCAAGTAGCAGATAAAAAATAGCACCAGGTTTAGAAAGACCAGATAAAAGCTCCAATAACAAATGTATATTTTTAAAACCTTATGCAAAGATTGTTCACTACACGTGAACTTCTTTTTTAGTATCTAACAGAAGTTATTATAAGTGGTGTTGCGGTCTCTATGGGTCAAACCAGGCTAATGTGCACATCAAATAAGGCAAGGCCATCACTATGGTTTGAATGTGTCCCCCAAAAGTTTATGAAGGTGATTGAGCCATGAGATTAGAGCCCTCATGAATGGACTAATGTCATAATCGTGGGAGTGGATTTCTTTCTCAAGAGAGCAGGATGTTATAAAAGCAAGCTTGGCTTGCTCTTGTAGTCTCTTTTGCATGTAATCACTTGCCCTTCTGCTTTTCTGCCATGTTATGATGCAGTGCAAAAGCCCTTGCCAGAAGCTGCCACCATGTCCTTGGACTTTCCAGCCTCCAGAATCATGGACCAAATCAACGTCTTTTTTTTATAAATTACCCAGTCTCAGGCATTTTGTTATAGCAAGAGAAAATGGACTAAAACAACCATTATTATTATTTAAGAAATTGGAAGCTTTTCTTTTCTTTTTTTTTTGAGATGGAGTCTCACTCTGTTGCCTGGCTGGAGTGCAGTGGTGCAGTCTTCATTCACTGCAACCTCCACCTCCTGGGTTCAAGCGATTCTCCTGCCTCAGCCTCCCAGGTAGCTGGGATTACAGGCATACACCACCATGCCTGGCTAATTTATGTATTTGTAGTAGAGATGGGATTTCACCATGTTGGCCAGGCTGGTCTTGAACTCCTGACCTCGTGATCTACCCACCTTGGCCTTCCAAAGTACTGGGATTACAGGTGTGAGCCACCACGCCCGTCCCATGGAAGCTTTTCTTATATATGAAGGTTAAATTTATATAGAGTATTATGTCTTCTGAAAGAAATACGTGAGCAAATTGCTTTATTCTACTTTCATTTGTTTTTAAAAAATAAATCATTTACCTTAAGAATGGCTTCCTTTGTGTAAAAACTAAATTTGCCAATTTGGTTATCATCCACCTCAGAGATGGCTAAGACAAGAGCAGTAGGAGAATATCTGCAACAAAAAATATGAAATTGTTTTGATGTGATATGCAACTAATCAAGAGACACCATTATGATGGAACAGGATGTCATGTGATCAGATCTGAAATGTCAGTAATAATAGCAAATGCAACTTTTATACAAAACTTGATATTTCCACTGAAAGCTATAAGAGATCTGGGATCTTTTCTGTCCTTTTTGAACTTGATCTTTCTGTAGTTTGATTATGGTGACCACCCCATAGTGTTGGAAATTATTTTCTCTTGATCACCATTACACTACTCTCTCCCGTTTTTCCTTTTTTTTTTTTTTTTAAGCAAAATGTTTTTATTTATTTGAAGTACATATGTAGTTAACTGGGCATCAAAGGTGTACCAAGTGATTTTTTTTTTTTTTGGAGTCAGAATCTTACTCTGTCACCCAGACTGAATGGCAGTGGTACAATTATAGCTCACTGCAGCTTTGAACACCTGAGCTCAAGCAACTGTCCCACCTCAGCCTACTGAGTAGCTGGGACTACAGACATGCACCACCACACGTGGCTCTTCTCACCTTCTTGACCATACTTGTTTAGGATCCTTCACTGACTCACTCCTTTGAGCACCCCCTAAATGTTGTCCAATTCTCTCTCTTTCCTATGGTTCCAATAGCTATCTAAATATTCTTTGTAGCCATGTTTCCACCTTGAGACTCAGTACTTTGTCCATAACTATGAGACTTTGTCAAGTAACTTAATATCTATCAATCTTTCTTTCTTCATCTGTAAAGGGGGTATCACCTATCTCATAGGGTTATGGCAAATATTAAGAGGGATAATATGCATGAATGTGCTTTTTAAAATGTAAGTCACTATACTCATATTTGATCCAGTTGACCTTCCATATCTATGGGTTCTGCATCCATGGATTCAACCAATTACAGATAAAAAATATTTGAAAACATAAAACAATAAAAAGTAACAATACAAAAATAAAAATAATGCAAATAAAAACAATGTAGTATAACGACTATTTACATAGCATTTAAATTGTATTAGATATAAGTAATCTAAAGATGATTTAAAGCATAAGGGAGGGAGTGCATAGGTTTTATGCAAATACTATGCCATTTTATATAAGGAACTTGTGCATCCTTGGATTTTGGTACCTGAGGGGATTTTGGAACTGATCTCCCACAGACACTAAGGGATGACTATATATGTTGTTGTTATAATGGCTCTCCAAAGTGGCAACTTTAAGGAATTAACATACATAAAATAAATACGAATTCAGTACACAAGTTCTTTGGATATATAAGCTTTCCCCTGGTAATGAAAAAGGCTCCCTTATCTTGCAGCATCTCTAGGTCATCACCTGGAGGACCAATCACAGACCAGAGCATCGGCCAGACCATAGGGCATTTGGGCAGTTTATGCTGATTGGTGCATTCTGACTGAACAAAAATGTGGTGCCCTATTTTCACACAATATAAAACACCAACCAAGGAGGCCCTTGAAGGACCAGAAAACAGCTTGGCTCCAGATAGGTTTTTTTTTTCCAATTGGAGACCTAGCGTCGCCTAAGGCCTGATCATACTTCCTGCCTTGGCTTCTGTGAATATCTCTGTATCCTTACAATAAATTCAGTTTTTGGCTTAGCTAGTGTGACAGGATAGGGCAGGGGCAGGTTTTGCCCCCAGGAGATATTTGGCAATGTCTGGGGACGTCTTTGATTATAGAAGAGTGTGTATGGGGTGGGGTACTGGGATACTACTGGCATCTGGTGGGTAGAAGTCAGAAATGTTGCTAATCAATCTAAGACACACAGGACAGCCCCCCACAACAAGGATGTCTTCAGTCCCAAAGTTTAGTAGTGCTACAATTGAGAAATCCTGGGATATTGTATTCTATCATCCTAACCCCCTCATTCTACCCCTGCTCTGTGGAGTCATTTAGGATATTAACACTCAGAGTTCTATTTTGAGCAGAGATCTGCATTAGCAAAACAAAGGTGCTGGTTGCCTCCTCGGAGTCACCTTTTTCCTTCCTTGGCATGGAGCCAGTACCAGGAATCTCCAGGGATAGAGGTGGGACCCTGTGGGGAAAAGCAGATAGCAGAGAAAGAAAGAAGAGGGAGACAGCAGTTTCTCCTCCCCACACATCAAAGGTTAATTGTGTGAGGACAAAAGAAAGATTCCTTTCCCTGACTGAGCAGACTCACCATCTATTACTAGTAAGGGTATTTTCTTTCAAGCAATGGGTTGAACCTATGGGGCATGAGAGAGAAGTTTCACTGGTTTGCATTGGCTTCCGTCACTAGCTAACAAAGGAGGCTGCCTGATATATTGCCTGCATGTTATATTTGTACCTTGTGTTATCCTTTCAAGGAAACAGCTGCTCTGAAAACTTCAGTGACATCTTCCTGGTCTGAAGGAAAGTGAGAGATGAGACCTGGACTTCTGATCCATGGCTCTCACCCCATTAGACCCATGCTGACTCCCTTTTCTACCTGGAAGCCACATATTCTACCTGGGAAGCAGCTGAGCCTGTGATTTCATCTCACCTGAGTTCTCTGGTTCTTTCATTTCTCAGTTACTTGGTGTTTTTAAATGCAATTGTCCCCCTTAAATGAGATCTTACTTTCTCCCTCTTATTAAAAAAAGAAAGAAGAAAAAAACTGGCATCATGGCAGATAGAATATAAGAGAGAACTTAGAAATGTGATTGTTCTTGCATGTCAAATGGTGACAAAAATTATTTTTCACAGGTTATTCACTCAGCCATCATGTTATTTTTACCTCAACACTCTCAAGGCTCACCTGTCTACCCGCCCACCGTCCTCCAGCAGAGAGGTTATAAAGACAGGAGGTGGCTGGTCTGCCCTGTCCCTGTGTGATGCAAATTCAAAGTGAACAGGCCTCAGATACAGATGGAACTCTTCAAAACCCATCTCCCATGCCAGTTCTTTATAGAGCCTAAAAGGAAAAAAAAGAGCCAAGGACGTATGTTAGTGTTTTCTCCTAAAAACAAAGCGAGTAATAAGAAAATGAAGACACCTGAACAAAAACCAAAGTAAAAGTCCAATAAAAGCCCAGGTCTGTGTGAAGTGAGTGAGCCACAGAGGCCTTCAGCTCTGCACTTGCTGTGACAGTTACAGATGGTAGAAAGCAGTTCAAGTAGGAGATGTGCTTGGGTGTTTACTCGACTCTCATTTTCCACAAGCTGACTTCTGTCCCCAGAGCCCTCATGAGGTACCGTTGCTGAAATGCGACATTCACCATCTTCTCTCAGAGTTCATCACAGTTGGCCTCTCTGTCCCCTCCTCGAGGATCATCTTTCTCCATGTTCCTGCCTCATGACCGCTCTCTCTCAGTCTTCACTGGCTTCTCCTCTTGCTTATCTTCAAATGTTGGTGTTTCCTGAGGTTCCGAACCTGGTTCTCTTCTCATCTACCACATTCCCTCCTTAGGGGTTTGTGGGGGAGTCTGTTCAGCTCCACACCCTAAGACTACTGCTTCATGTAACAATCTGTGACCCTTGTCTGTGTCCTGACTTAACTCTGAGCTCCAGTCCCAAGTCTGTCGAAGCATGGCTCCAGTTAGATGTTCCCCTGGCATCTCAGCCTTACATGTTGACAATTCTTTCCTCCTTCCTTAACACTCTCCTCCTCCTCCTCCCTCTTTCTCCTCCTCCTCCCCCTTCCTCTCCTCCTCCTTCTCCTTCTTCTCTTCCTTCTTCTTTTCTACTTCTTTTCTTCTTCCTTCTTCCTTCTTCTTCTTCCTCTTCCTCTTCCTCCTCCTCCTTTCCTCCTCCTTCTTGGTCTTTTATTTTTAGAGATAGAGGTCTTGCTTTATTGCCCAGGCTGGAGTGCAGTGGTGCAGTCATAGCTCACTGCAGTCTCAAACTCCTGGGCTCAAGCAATACTCCCACCTCAGCCTCCCAAGTAGCTGGAACAGGCATGAACCACCAGGCTCAACTAATATTTAAAAAATTTTTGTAGAAATGAGGTCTTGCTGTGTTGCCCATGCTGGTCTCAAACGCCTGGCCTCTGGTGATTCTCCTATCCTGGCTTCCCAAAGTACTGTGATTTCAGGCGTGAGCCATAGTGCATGTTCCCCAACATCCCACTTCTAATGCATCTCTCCATCTTGAGAAGTTGGCATTGAAGGCTGAGTTCTTGGCACCTGTATTAGTTTGCTAGGGCTGCTGTAACAAAGTACCCTGGAAACAGACAAAATACTAAACAACAGAAATTTATTGTCTCACAGTTCTAGAGGATAGAAGTCTGAAATCAAGGTATCAACAACTGGTTCCTCCTGAGGGCCGTAAGGGAAGGATCTGGTCCTGGTCTTTCTCCTCGGCTCGTCGATGACCATGTTCTCCCTGTGCCTTCACATGATCTCCCTCTGTGTCTGTGTCTGAACTTCCTCTTCTTATAAGGACACTGGTCATATTGGATTAAGGCCCACTCTAATAACTTCCATTTAACTCGATTACCTCTGTAAAGACCTATCTCCAGATAAGGCCACATTCGGAGGTACTGGGGATTAGGCCTTGAACATATGACTTTTGGAGGGACATAATTCAACCCGTAGCAGCCCCTCTTCCATGAAGCTTCCCTGACCACTTAGGAAGAATGAAATACTCTCTTTTCTGTACTCCCCTAGTGTTTTGTACATATCAGTAGAATATCATTGTTACCATGTGTCATGGGTAATTTTTACATTATGGGCTTCCTGCCACCAAGGATCATAAATTATGAAGCGATGTTAATAATATCTTGATTGATAATTTAAATTCTGCCTTCACTACTTTATAGTTATATGCTCTTAGGCAAATTAACTTTTCTGAGCCTCTACTTCCTTGCTGATAAAATGTTTGTAACCCTCCTCATAAGGATATTCTGAGAATTAAATGAAATAATATACATAAAATCCCCAGTAAAGACCCTGGCCACAGCAAGCCCTTGATAATGGTTGTGGTAGGTGACTGGACTCTCTATATCTACAGGGCCTTTTGTGGGGACCAGAACATAACAGCACTCATACATATTTACAACAAACCCTTTAGCTCCGTATTATTACTGCTTGTAGAACATGTCCACTTGATGTCTTACCATCATCTCACCCTCATACCTAAAACATAACTCATTAATTTCTCTCTCCTGCCCTCTAAGCCCACCATACCTCTGTCTGACCTGGATGCCATCACTGACTCATCTCTCTCTCATCTCTAGGCTCTTTCTATTCAACTTCATTACATTCAGGAGCAAATTCAACCAGTATTCCCTGAGTGCCTGGTGTGGTTCAGGCCCCATACCAGGTGATGGGATGTCACGGTAAAGAATGTGGATAGGGCTTTTGCATTTAGGGAGCTTATGCTAGCAGAAAAGTCAATAAACCAATATTAAGCAATGAATTAAAAGGAAATGTGCTGAATGGAGGGGAAACCCAGGTGCCAGCAGAAGGGCTTAGCCTAGTTGAGTGATCAGAGAGGCATTTGGGAAGGCTTGGAAGAGAGAAGGAACAAAGGAGCTGTTGCAGGAAGTCAGGGACCCTGAACGGAGGGACTGGCTGAAGACATGGCAGAAGAACATGAATTGTGAAGATTTCATGGAAGTTCCCCAAATTAATACTTTTATAATTTCTTACGCCTGTCTTTACTGCAATCTCTGAACACAAATTGTGAAGATTTCGTGGACACTTATCACTTCCTCAACCAATACTCTTGTGATTTCCTATGCCTATCTTTGCTTTAATCTCTTAATCCCTTCATCTTCATAAGCTGGACCTTGTGATAATTGCATTAACTGCACAAATTGTTTAAACAATATGAAATCTGGGCACCTTGAAAAAAGAACAGGGTAACAGCAATGGAGATAACCTTAAAGTCTGGCTGCCTGTGGGCCAGGTGGAACAGAGCCATATTTCTGTTCTTTCAAAAGCAAATAGGAGAAATATTGTGGAATTCTTTTTCTTAGCAAGGAACATCCCTGAGAAAGAGAATGCATTCCTAAGGGGAGGCCTCTGAAATGGCCGCTTTGGGAACGTCTGTCTTTTACAGTTGTAGATAAGGGATGAAATAAACCCCGGTCTCCTGTAGTGCTCCCAGGCTTATTAGGATGAGGAAATTCCCGCCTAATAAATTTTGGTCAGGTTGGTTGTCTGCTCTCAAACCCTGTCTCCTGATTAAATGTTATCAATGACAAAGTGTGCCCAAAACTTCATTAGCAATTTTAATTTTGCCCTGGTCCTGTGATCTCGCTCTGCCTCCATTTGCCTTGTGATCTTTTATTACCTGGTGAAGCATGTGATCTCTGTGACCCACACCCTATTCGTGCACTCCCTCCCTTTTTGAAAATCACTAATAAAAACTTGCTGGTTTTGCGGCTTGGGGGACATCACGGAACCTGCCGATATGTGATGTCTCCCCCGGACACCCAGCTTTAAAATTTCTCTTTTTTGTACTCTTTCCCTTTATTTCTCAGACCAGCCGACACTTAAGGAAAATAGAAAAGGACCCACGTTGAATATTGGGGGTGGGTTTCCCCCGATAGGGAGCAAGGTGATCATGTTAGCCATTTAGAAAACTGTCTGGCTGCTCTGGGAGCAGAGAGGGGGTAGGCTTGTAGCAGGGAGTCTCATGGCCTGTTTTCCCCCATGTTTTGCTGCAAACCGTATATTCCACCTGGGCCTCCGACCTCCACTGACCAAGCTAAGTGTGCACTCTCCAGGCTCATTTCTATCAGCCGGTGGCGGAGGGTCAAGAGTTCCAGAAGTTTGGAAAACATCTCCAAGAGTAGCACATGAGAGTCTTGGCCTTGTTTCCGTCCTTCGTCTGCTGCAGACTTGAATGCCAGCAGGCCTATCTCCCCCATGAGAAAGGGATCTCCCATAACTTTAGCTGAAAACAGCTGAAAGAAAACAAAATATCCTTTAAAACACAGAAGAATTTTCACATTAAAAAAATACACTGTCTGTCAGTGGCACAAACTCTGGATCCAGATTTCCTAGGCTCAAGTCCTAACTTTGCCATTGAGAAGCTGTGAGATTTTGGCAATGTACTCAATTTTGCTGTGTCTCAATTTTCTCATCTATAAAGTAGTGATAAGGATAATAACAGTCCTTACTGCATGCAAATAGATACTAACTTCCTAATAGGGCTCTTGAGAGGGTTAAATGGATTAACATATGGAAAAGTATCTGCTGTTATCATTATTATAAATGTTATGAGTCTAAATAAACAAATCTGTAGATATTCACTGTGGGGATACTTGTCTATGCCAAAGACAAACTAAATAGAAATAGAAGTCCCTGATTTTTGAAAGTATTTTAGTGGCCAATATCAATTTTTTTTTTTGAGATGGAGTCTTGCTCGGTCACCCAGGCTGGAGTGCAATGGAGCGGTCTTGGCTCACTGTAACCTCCGCCTCCCGAGTTTAAGCAATTCTCCTGCCTCAGCCTCCTGAGTAGCTGGGACTACAGGCGTGTGCCACCACGTCCGGCTAATTTTTTGTATTTTTAGTAGAGATGGGGTTTCACCATGTTAGCCAGGATGGTCTCAATCTCATGACCTTGTGATCCACCCGCCTTGGCCTCCCAAAGTGCTGGGATTACAGGCATGAGCCAGCGTGCCCCACCAACAATTTTTTTTTTTTTTTTTTTGCGTATACCTCTCTAATTACAGTTTCAAAATTTCAAAGTATTTTTACATATATTAACTCGTTTTTATTTTCACAAGATCCCCATGAAATAGGAGTCACAGGTATCATTATTCCCCTTTGTCAGTGAGGGATCTGAAGCAACATGAAACTTTCCAAGGTCACACAGCAGTACCAAGAGTAAACTTGGGCTTCCTGATTCCAAGTTCAGCTGTTTTACAGTACACCAAACTGCCTTTCCAGCATTCCCTCACTCAGAGCTGGCCCTGGGTGATTTGTGAAGTAACCACACTGTCCTTTAACACCCTGCTGCCTTGGTGGGTACCTCTGCTGTAACATCTTTGCTGTCTTCGAATATACCACTCCCAGCAACCACCCAGTCTGGAGACCCCCTGCCTCTCTGGTTTGGCTCCCCAGGATACATAAGCTCCTTTGTCTATCCACTTATCTACCAAAAGACTGGGCTACTCAAGGATGCAATTTCTAGGCCCTTAAAGTTTTCCAAAGTGGTAACAAAGAGACCTATTAAATAAATTCCTGCATGCCTTCTGAGGGCATTTTCTGACCTAATATAAATATTAATCTGAATACTTATAGGTATAAATTTGGACAGATTTCAAAAATAATAAAACTGTGTGGCAGCAATGGGAGATGACAGGTATCCCAGATATTCACTATAATTTATAAAATAATTTCAAATACATCTTTTTTTTTTTTTTGAGATGGAGTCTCGCTCTGTCACCCAGGCTGGAGTGCAGTGGCACGATCTCGGCTCACTGCAAGCTCTGCCTCCTGGGTTCACGCCATTCTCCTGCCTCAGCCTCCTGAGTAGCTGGGACTACAGGCACCCGCCACCATGCCTGGCTAATCTCTTTTTGTATTTTTAGTAGAGACGGGGTTTCACTGTGTTAGCCAGGATGGTCTCAATCTCCTGACCTCGTGATCCGCCTGCCTCAGCCTCCCAAAGTGCTGGGATTACAGGCATGAGCCACCATGCCCGGCCTCAAATACATCTTTTAAATGTGGTATCATAAGGCAATGTGAAAGGAATCTTCAATTAATGGTAGTAGAATAAATGGCTGATAATTTGAGGAAAAATTCGGTTTTGACTCATACCTCACATACCACACAGATGCATGCACACACATACACTCTCTCTTTTCTCTCTCTCTGGTGAAATATTAAAAGAGTTAAATATTTTTATTATTTTGTTTATTTTTATTTATTCATTTATTTTGAGATGGAGTCTTGCTCTGTCACCCAGGCTGGAGCGCAGTGGCACAATCTCGGCTCACTGCAACTTCCACGTCCCAGATTCAAGTGATTCTCCTGCCTCAGCCACCCAAGTAGCTGGAATTATAGGTGCCTGCCACCATGCCCAGCTAATTTTGTATTTTTGGTAGAGATGGGGTTTCACCATGTTGGCCAGGCTGGTCTTGAACTCCTGGCCTCAAGTGACCTGCCCACTTTGGCCTCCCGAAGTGCTGGAATTATACTCACGAGTCACTGCACCCAGCCAGAGTTAAATATTTTAAAAATAAAACCAACCACTTAAAAATTAGAATAAGACAAATATGAAAGATCTGGAGTAAGATTTTTTCTGAATTTAGGACAGAAGAAATAATAAAGAAAATGATTAATAGATTTGACTACATGAAAACAAGTTTATGTTAAAAAAAAAAAAATGGAAAGACAAATGGAGAGGCTGGGCACAGTGGCTTGTGCCTATAATCTTAACAATTTGGGAGGCCAAAGTCGGGGGATCGCTTGAGCCCAGGAGTTGGAGACCTGCCTGGACAACATGGTGAAACCTCCTCTCTAATAAAAATACAAAAATTTAGCTGGGCATGATGGTGTGCACCTAGAGTCCCAGCTACTCGGGAGGCTGAGGTAGCAGGATGGCTTGAGCTGGGGAGACTGAGGTTGCAGTGATCTGTGATTGTGGCACTGTACTACATCCTGGGCAACAGAGTGAGTCCCTACCTCAAAACAAAACAAAAGGTGCAGGGGGGGATGAATGGGGAAATATTTGCATAAAATTATAGACAAAAAGAAGAATAAAATTCTTATTTAAGAGAAGCTCATGTAAGTAGATAGGACTAATGTTAGGATTCCAACAGACACATAAAGGGAAAGAACAAAATTCACAAAAAATATAATTAGTAACAAAACATTTGAAAGACTAAGCTCAATAAATAGCAAGAAAATGCAAATTAACAGCATAATACCACTTTTCATGTATATGTGTATATTCGCACATACATCATATGCTTTTGCCTAATACTACACAGTATAGCAGAACTGGTACTCTTAAAATACATGAGTGTCATTATAAATTGGCACAACTCTTTGGAAAGCAATCTGCTAATATGTATCCAAATATTTAAATTTTATTTTAGTAATTCTGTTTCCAAGAACCTATCAAAAGGAATCAATTCAAAATATGGAAAAATCTTTATGTAAAAATATATATCTTATAGCATTTTTCATGATAATGAAAAATTGGAAACCACTTGAATGTCCATCAATAGAGAAATGATTAGAGAAGTTTTTATTCATCAGATATGGGAATTATATGTGGTCATAAAGGTAAGTCTAAGATGAGTTAGCCTTATGGAAAAATATGTAGTATAATGTTAACTGAGAAGAGGAGGAAATAACAATGGACAAAAACTATGATTATGGCTATGTACAACACACATATTAACAATACTTAAATTCAGAAAAATAATGATATGAATGCATTAGATTGGTAATGTTTAAATTCAATTTTGTTCTTTCTGCTTTTGCTAGAATTCTCTGTGATTTTATGTTATTTTGGTCACTGCAAAATAAAATCAATTTTTACTTTAGTCAAGAGGGGATAGGAGGCCAAGGCAGACCTATGGAGCAGACAGTTTGGGCAGTGGGGGGCCTATGAAAGTTTCTTTGTCATATAGCAAGTATGCACACAGAATGAGGTCAAATTGGAAACCCAGGGGTAACCTTGACAGCCTTAACAGAAAAAGAAAAGGATTAAAATCCAACTACAAACACCATGTAAATCATTAACCCACAATTTGAACCATGGAGCAGTAGAGCTGAGAGGGGCTTCAGAGGTCATCAAGCTCACCTCCGCCTACCTCCCCTACCAAGTACACAAACATAATTTTACAGAAACAGTAAAGTGAGGTCAGAGAGGCTAAGAGACATGCTCAGAGTCACACAGCAAGTGAATGGCAGGACTGAACTTGAATTCTGATCAACGCTTTCTGTCTTCTGCCGGATCTTGACAAAAAGAACACATTTAGGAAGTGTCTTAGTGGAAAGAAAATATAACATTTTTAATTAAAATGTATTTGTTAAAATATAAATAATAAACCAGAAAACATTTCCCACATACCCACATATATCACCTTTTAAATTTTAATTGTAGCAGTATCTTTACAAATGAGAAACTTTGACCCCATCCCCCAAAAAATCACATAAAACTATTGGCAAGGCTTATGACTGAGCTCTGTCTCTAGCCAAATAATGGGGGAATAGAGCCAAACAGAAAAACAAAGCTAAACAGTAACATCTGGAAAAAAAATATTCTCCCTGCCAAGGACCCAACTATCCCCTTCAAAAAGAACTTACATCTTTCTGGAGCTGTGCACTGTAGCAGGCCTCAGGCGTGGCTGGGGTGAGCCACAGGCCCAGGGCCAGCTGCAGGACATGTCGCTCCAGGGAGGCGAGGCCACTGGCTGATGTGGGTCTGTAGGCATGGCAGGCCTCTTGGAAGAGATGCTCTAGGGCTTTGGGGATAAGCGCTACCAGGCTGAGGGAAGGGTGGAACTCCAGCAGATAAATATTTTTTGAAGCCGGGCTTGAAGAAAAGAACAACAAATGACAATTTTACACAACAAACTTAAAATTCAAAAGATGTTTCAATTTTATATTTTTAAGGACCAATAAAACAGCTCCTGTATGTCCAGTGCATTATGAAAAACTGAGAGCTCAGAGGGACCTCAGAGTCTGAGAAACTGCTGGGTTGCATGACATGTTCTTTGCTTTAATGTGAACCTTTAAAAACGGAAAGACACAGATGTGTATTCTAGAAGCTCAATAAGAATAAGACTATACAGGCCGCGCACAGTGGCTCACGCCTGTAATCCCAGCACTTTAGGAAGCCGAGGCAGGTGGATCACGACGTCAGGAGATCAAGACCATCATGGCTAACACAGTGAAACCCCGTCTCTACTAAAATTACAAAAGAAATTAGCCAGGCATGATGGCAGTCACCTGTACTGTAGTCCCAGCTACTCGGGAGGCTGAGGCAGGAGAATGGCGTGAACCCGGGAGGCGGAGCTTGCAGTGAGCTGAGATCGTGCCACTGCACTCCAGCCTGTGCGACAGAGCAAGACTCTGTCTCAAAAAAAAAAAAAAAAAAGGACTATACAGCAAAACTGTCAACATTTCAGTAATCAATATTTACTCAAATATATAACAAAATAGTTCAAAAGTGACTACATAAAAAACAAATAATTTCCATGGTTATTAGTTTCTATATTTCATCTGAATCTTTATCCCTTCTTTCCCAAAATGTTAACAGACAAAGACAATTTTTAAATTCTGTACATAACTGCTGGAATCATTCAAATGGACTGTAATCATTCATAAATGAATGAGGCCAGAAGCAAAAAAAAAAAAAAAAAAAAAAAGTTCATCTGTGGGTTATTTCTTTAGATATAAAGGGTTCAGCACAAGTCGAGAGTCCTTCTATACCTACACAGAACTGAAGAACATTGTAACTCCCTTTACATTGATGCAAATGGTATCTTTCTTAGTCCTGAATCTGCAAAATAAAAACAGCCTAAAGTCTGGAAAGGAATCTCACCAAGCAAATAATACTTGCTTTTGAGACTATTCTGGCAGGTTTTAGTATCCATATAACCCTAGCCTACTCTGCCAGAAACCATTTCCGGAACAGTAAATGTTTGCCATAGCAAGCTGCACACACACAGCTGGTGTCTCAAGTTTATTACAGAGAAGAAATCAGTCCTGTGAAAGATCTATGGAGAAAATGCAGAGTTTTGAGCCTGGGGCTCTTTCTCAAAAAATGAGAATCTCAGATATTTGCTCCCATGATGCCCTGCCTGTCCCCAAGATAATACCATAACCCATTATGGCAATTTCTTACATAAAGTCTGCCTTTACTGCTGGACTGTATACCTCACAGGAACATAGAACCATGCCTGTGTTGTTCACATCTGTGTGCCAAACAAATATTTGTTGGATGTTGAAATTTTCTCCACCCATTTGGAGGCAATTGAGAGATTGTGATCTAGAGCCATGCAGATCAACCTGCAGCTTGTCACCTGCTTCCCAGTTTCCTCTACCCTCAAAGGTTAAAAGGGAAGAGGGAGATGGTTATGCTGCCTATCTAGGGGGTGACAAAGTGTGTACCCTCTCTGAGTGGTCACAGGAAATTTAACTCTGTTCCTTAAATTTAACTCTGTTGTGACCCTCCAAGGCAAATCTGCAGAAACCTCTTTAGTGACACTTAAATTCCTTTTTAAGAAGCTTTTAAGCACCTTCAAGCTTTATACATGTAGGCTCGTGTGGTGCATCTGGTTAAATCCTGACAGCATCTCAAGAGCAACTGCTTTTTCCCCAGGCCTTTTCAAGAGAATGATGATTCTGTACCCAGTGGCATATGTTTAAATTCTAGCCTCCTATTCTTTATTATTCACAAAACAAAAAGATACTCAATATACAAGGGAATCCCTCCTTTGTGGCCTTGGTACCTACTTCTTTCATCTCCCCCAAGCACTTGAGAAGTGCTTTATAGAGTAGTACTGAGATTGAACACTCTATCCTTAATTAATCTAGAAGATCACACATAAAATGTATAAAGACAACATCAACTTACCAGCTATTGTTGATGGAAATAAGTTGTTTGCAAACTATATTAAGGGGAAGTCCAAATGTATTGCTATTGTCCAGATGATCCTCTCGCCAAATCCTCTGGACATACTCCCGCTGACGTTCTATCTAAAAATGCAGCGTAAACATTAAAATTAGAAAAGTTAAACTTTCCCACAGCCATGAGTTATAAGCCTTGACATGAGAAGGATTTCGTCCCTTTGTGTCTCTTCATCATTTGACTAATTTTCACGCTGACATTGTTTTGAAGACTCTTTTGCAATGGGCTGGTTTCTCAGTCTGAGCCAGATAGCCAAGGGAAGCAAAGGCAACTGACTTCAGACAAGCTTAAGAAGCAAAAGAGAAATCTTTCTGTTAAATAATTGACTACATGGAAAAAATTTCAACCAGGTGGCAACAATTCTTTGTCTCTTGCTTGCTTCAAGCCATTAGCGTTTCCCTAGAGGACATACAATATGATGGCTTCTTTCAGTGTCCTAAAAATAATCACACTTTAAAAAAAATAAACAAAATTTTATACATTAATGTCAAAAAGATGTATCATTAGTTCTTCTTTCACTACAAATAAACTTTGCAATCTAATGAAAACTAAGGTCATCAATTCCTTGTGGACCATTAACTCTAATGAGGGGTGGAAATCTCTCTTTAAGACCATAGTTACACTGGGATTTCAACAACGCAAATGAGCTTACAAATAAGTCAGCTGTACATGCTGGCCTAGAAAACACAGATTTCAGATCTGCAATGGAAGGAAAACACTATTTTCATTTCTGGCCTGTGTTTTCCATCCTCTTCTCGCACGCAGTATTTTAAAACCCAACTACACTCACCTGCTGGGTGAGGATGCCCCTCACTAACTGCAGGTGAAGCCTCAGGCAGGTGCATTCCTCTCGGTAGGCCTTAACGAAATAGGGGTGGCTGAGATCAAACCTCGGGCGCCGGTGCACGATGTCCGTCATCACTTGTGCTAAGGCGAACCTCTCCTCAGGGTCCAGCGTGTGCTGGTAGGCTTCAAAGTAATTGTCAAGAAGCTGCAAATAAGGTTGGTAGTTAGGGATCAGCAGAGGCAGCCTTGGGGCCCAGCAAAGAGACGGGAGGCCCCACCAGACTGTGGGGATGCAGTACCAATACAGTGCCGTGCAGCTGGTAAACCTACAGACAGAGTTAGACAGGGAAAGGGAAAGAACAGACTTTGGAGCCAGAAGAACTAGGCTTGAGTTTGAGTTCCTGCTTCCATCCCCTCTTCCTCTGGTATCCACAAATAAAAAGGGGGTGAGGTAATTATATAATAATTATTAGCTCCAATCAGACAACACATTAAGACACTTAATGTGTTTATCTCCAACACCTTTCTCCAAGGACTCATTCTCCTTCTTCCATTTTATTCCATCACCAAAGCTAAGTAGGTGCCCGCCTGACTTCTACAGTCTCAGCCCCACTTCTGACTCCTCCTCTTTAATAGTTTGTTCACATTTCACCTACGCAAAAACGATACAGGAGTAGAATGGAAGGCTGAGGGTAAATGTGCTTCCTATATTTAAAGTGATTTATCCCAGACTGAAGTCCTCTAGATTGGGCCTTACAAACAGAACTCTCCAACACATCAAGTGTCCAAAACCCCAGTGGAGATCTGTTTTAGTGGAGTTCGCAAGTCTTTTCTAAAAACCCAGAAAAGCTTTCAGACACTAACTGCTGAAGAGCATTCTTAGTGTGGGAATTCAGAAAGAGATGTTTCTTGATTTTGCTTTTACATTTGTCTGTGAGCTTAAGGAATTTCTGTTCTGTGTGTAAATTCTATTTGTGTGTGATTAGTCATGATGCTAATCGGAAAAAGCTCTTCAGAGATCACTGGGTTGGAATTCCCAACTGGGACCCTAGGGCAAGATAAGTAGCTCTGATGTGTACAGTGCATAATAAATCCCTTCTCCTGTTAATCTGTCTTTTGTCAGTTTCATTTTCAGAGCCCAGGCACTGAATCTAAGAAAGCAGAGGAAAAAGTTTTTCCTCCTCTACACAAAAGAATTGAACCCTTGAGGATGAATAGCACACTAGGAATCAAATACTGCTTTACTAAGACATACTTTATTTTGGAGACCCTAAGGCTAAGGCTCAAGGAGGAAGAGCCTGAAGCACTTTATTTAGCACCTGGTTTTGTAGGATGTCCTTTGGGTATAAGGGACCTTAGATCAACCTTAGTATGAAAAGGAAGACACCAAAGGAAACTAAAAGCTCAGGTCACAGAGATGCTCCACAAGTCAGAAACTCACACATCAAGAGTGCAAAGTGAGGGAAGGTGGAGACCACCCTTGCCTTTAAATGAGCCCCAGGGAAAATGATGCCAGCTGGGTGATCTCGGTTACCTTGTTCCATCCACCAACCTCTGCTCTATAATAACACTCAATTATTACATAGCAGAAGACAACACAGAAATGAAGGAAGAATGACTGGATCGGGGTAAGAAAGGTGTCCCTCAGTAGACCCAGGTGAAGTTAGGAAAGAAACAATTACTTCCCTAACTCATTCTGGACTCACTTGAACCTTTTTAGCTGGGCCAGGGCAATCCCAGAAGCTGGTTTATCGTATTTATACTTCCTTGACCTGTTTTTGCACAGAGTCCAATTGTTTGGTTATTTAGCAGGGGGAGTTTGTGGGGAGTTGGGGGTGGGGGAAGGGTTCTAGATGGTGATTCCAACCTGATACCAGACTGCAGAGGCTCATGCTAAATTGCCATTTTATCACTGTCGATAGGGCTGTCAGATTTAGCAAGTAAAAATATAGAACATTTAGTCAAACTTGAATTTTAAATAAATAAATACTTTTTTGGTATAAGTATGTCCCAAGTATGGCACTATATTATCTGGTAAACTTAGCTGTGGGGAAGGAAACTGTGGCTCTCTTTTTAAATTGATGAAGCTTCTTTGAGCTTTGTGCTCAACCTCGAGAGGCTCTCAGATCATTGCATAATTTTATTATGAATTCTTTCCCAACAGGGATGGGGCCAAGATCTTTCTGCCTCATGGGTTCTATTTATTATCTGTTTGCTAAGTGGCCCATTTCCATTTCAACTCTGGGCTGGTATTTGTCTAAGAAGGTCTTCCCAGTCTGTCAAATGTCACCTGCGTGTGTCAAGAGCCAACTCTCAGGCAAGATAATACGTGGTGCGTGCTGATGGTAAGCACAAAATATTGGAGAAAATGGGAAAATGGACAAAATAAATAATCTCAAACCTTACTGTGTTTATATTCTTTTTACTTCATTTTTTTGTCTTGGATTTAAAAAAAACTTCTAAAATAGTATTTTAGGTCAAATGAAAGTGCAAAACAGAAAATCTTTGCTAGACCCAACTTAGCACAGGACATTTTCTTTCTGGCTTTTCTAAGGAATGATCTTTTTATCCAGTACATTTGTCCTTCGGTAGCTGTAGAAAGACTTAGCAGATGGTACAGTGTCACTTAGGAGCTGCTACAGCTGATACCTGACTTTTCTAAGAATCCCTTGATCTACCTAAGTTTCTACCAGCTCTAATTTTATGAGCGTCATAAGGATTTAAAAGAACCCAATATGTTCAAGCAATTCTTAACCCTAGTGATACCAATAGATTTAACAATCAAAAACAGCTGAGGAAACTTGGCTGTAGGAAATAGTACTGGGGGAAATAAACTACTTTAGATAGAAATCTGGCTTATCCATTAAAAATAGGCTCTTTTGACAAAATTTCTGACTTGGCCATTTTACACTTTTCGCACCGATAGCTCAGTTTCTAAAGGGAATTTATTCTCAGGATAGAAAAGAGGGAGATATTTTCACCAAATGTTTTTAAGTCAAAATAGTTTCATTTACCACAGAAGGAACTAGTAGACTGTCCTGACACCTTACCACACAACGAATCCTAGGCTGAAGTGTGGAGAAATTGGTTCGTTTTTCAGTATTTTCTGCCTTCCTCCTCTTCTATTGCCATTGAGTCTTGCCGGGGGCCTCCAAAGGAGGTTCAGAGGCATTGAAAGGGAAGGTAGGGAGAGAGAGTACAGAAAGGGGTGGGGGGGTGCTGTTTAAAATTCATGCCTGGGCTGGGTGGGGTTGCTCACGCCCTGTAATCCCAGCACTTTGGGAGGCCGAGGCGGGCGGATCATGAGGTCAGGAGATCGAGACCATCCTGGCTAACACGGTGAAATCCCATCTCTACTAAAAAGTAAAAAAAAAAAAATTTAGCCAGGTGTGGTGGTGGGCTCCTGTAGTCCCAGCTACTCGGGAGGCTGAGGCAGGAGAAAGGGGCGAACCCAGGAAGCACAGCTTGCAGTGAGTTGAGATTGCACCACTGAACTCCAGCTTGGGTGACAGAGTAAGACTCCATCTCGAAAAAAAAAAAAAAAAAAAAAAAAAAAAAATTCATGCCTGGACCCATAAACTTGTTGAGTTTAAGGATCCTGTCTTATTTATATTTCATACAGCCATTCCAGTTACTACACTGTGCATCTAAATCTCTCACTCCGTTGATTAAGGTTCCAATGGGCAGATTAAGACTCCAGACTAATGCTGTAGGGGCCAGTTATCATTGAAAAGAGGAACATTTTTTTCAAAGTCCAAGGCTTGCACTATTGAAGCCTGGCCAATTGTTTGCCAGAGGGTGGGTGACCTACATCTCTAGGAGTAACAGACCAACCAGAGAGCAGATGAAATGGTGAACCATCTATTCTACTAGCAAAACAATTCAAAGAAAACATTGCCATTTCCCCATCTTCTGACCATATCATAGTGCACTATAACCTGGTTTCCACCCCCACCATGCTTCTGAGAGTCCTGCAATGCTGCCAGTGACCATCTGACCAAGCTGCTTGGTTTTTAGGAGTTCCTTTCTTGACGTTTCATGGAACTCCACAAGTAACCATCCCCTCCTAATTAAAACTCATTTCTTCCTTGTTTCTCTGGTCTATTTAGTTTTACTGCTTCTTGTTTCATGACCTGCCCCTTAAATGTAGGTACATTACTCAGGGGCTGGGCGCGGTGGCTCATGCCCGTAATCCCAGCACTTTGGGAGGCCAAGGCAGATGGATCACTTGAGGTCAGGAGTTTGAGACCAGCCTGGCCAAAATGGCGAAACCCTGTCTCTACTAAAAATATAAAACATTAGCTGGGCATGGTGGTGTGCACCTGTAATCCCAGTTACTCAGGAGGCTGAGGCATGAGAATCGCCCGAACCTGGGAGGCTGAGGTTCAGTGAGCTGAGATCGTGCCACTGCACTCCAGCCTGGGTGACAGAGCGAGATTCCATCTCAAAAAGAAAAAAAAAATGTAGGTGTATTACTTAGGGCTGCATTTCAGATATCTCTAGTTTCTCCCAGTTGTTTTGATTCATCACTGTGGTTCAACCTCCATATTCATACCTCAGCTCATACCTGTTCCTGAGCTTCAGACCTATTGCTGCCCACAAAACATTCACACCTGAGTTTCAGCAAACCCCCTCAAATGCCTTGTTGTCCTAGGGCCTATGTCATTTTCCCCTCTGAAGACACTCTTCCTCCTCCTGGGTTCAGTTTCAGTTAATAGCCTCCTCCCTAACCCTCAGGAATTTAATTCCTTCTTTACTTTCTTGCCCCAACTTCCAGATCCAGTCTTCCAATCCTGCCATTTCCACTTCTACAAAGTATTCTCAGGTCTGTTCCTCCTTCCAAGTCTCACCGCCTCTCTGCCTTTCTATTCTTCTATTGTCATTGTATGCTTCCTCCTAATTTTTCAGGTCACTGTTGCAATAACTGCACTTCTTCTCTCAGGGGCGCTCTATTCCAATCCATTCTCTCACATACGCCCAAGGTAGCTGTTAAAAACACAGCTATGATCATATTTCTCTCTATGGAAACTCACTAATGGCTCTTCTTTGTTTATAAGATGGACTCTAAAATAATATAATTAGCAGGTCCTTTATAGGCTGCACCCAAAACACATGTGTGGCTTGTTGCCACCCATCATGCCTTTACATCCCAGCCATAACAGTCTTCCTACCATCCTCCAAGAAGATAGGATTTTATTTCTCAAAATAAAATCCCCCAAGCTGGTCCTTCCCATTTACATTCCCCAGACATTCTAATGCTGTTTCGTCTCCTTAAGAATCTTTTCTTCCCTGCCAGACAACATCTTACTCACGTTTTAGTATCAAGATGAAATATCGATTCCTCTGGAAAGGCTTTCTAGCATTTCTTACACCGGACAGTGCTCCCCTCCCCCAGGACAAATCTCTCTGCAGAGTCCCCATGACTCATGAATGTACTCAATTATAAACTGTTAGGAACTAGGTTATAATTTTTGCTTGGAGATTGAATCTTTTGTAGATGATAAATTCCTTAAAGATAAAGATCATTTTCACTTAGTTATCTATATGTCCCTGAATGCCTGGAACAGTCCCTGGCGGAGTAAATACTTCATATTTCATAAGTAAATGCCTAACAATTGGTGATTATTAGAAGGGCTGATAATCCATGCTAAGGGCACAAATGAAGAACAGTAAACTTGCAGTGTTTCATTCATTATTGGGATATGAACCATTTGTGACACAGTGATGATTTAGTAACCTGCTGTTTCATTGCTTTAAACTCACCCCCGTAACATTGCACTCAGCACCCTGTCCAATGCTTTCACCTACCCACATGTGGCATATGCTTCTACAGGTCATGATCAGGTCAACTTGTCTGTAATTAGCAAAGTGAGCATTGTCCCTATGACTGCACAATGAGCATGAATGAAATCATCATTCATTCTCACTAAAAGCATACATATTATAAGAAGGAATTATACAGTCCTCTAACAAATAATACCTGTAAGATAAAGAAGTATCTTTCACATTTTGTTTTTTGTGATGAACCTCAGTAAAGAAAATAAAATTTATTACATCCTTATAACTAGCCAAGATTATTTAAATAAAATAATTCTTCTCCTGATTGAGAACTTTTCTAAAAGTCTAACTGGGTTTTATTTACAAAAACAAAAACAGAAAAAAGACTGGATTTTGTAAGAATGGTTTTTTAGCAGACATTTTGTCTCCTAGGCAAGAATACCTGGCGCTTGTTTTCCAGAAGAGCTGCTTCCCAAGTCCATATGTCATAGAGCACAGCAAATCTGTCCACACCTGCATGGGCCCATCCCCAGTCCTGGCCACTCTTTGGCTGGCTGCCCACTTTGTGACCTGGGAGAAAAGAGGGTGAGAATGTTTAGAGACAGGTCTTCCAAGGAACCTGTTCCAATTAGAAATGTGCCCCTTGGATTATCAGCTCCATCTCAGAAACAGAAATGCTGAACCAGTCCCTGGGACGAAGCCTGAGTTCATACTTATTACTTCTAAGTCAACAGGAGCTTTTGTTTTTATTTTTTAAATTCAGTTTTAAAGACTAATCTTAGAAATAAAATAAAAAGTTTAGTTAACAAGAAATCTATGCTAAAATGTCTTCAAACCCACAATTTAAAGGCAAGGTATATATTAGGTATATCCTTCTCTAAAAACAAATCCCTGGGGTTTAACAACAAACTCAGTTTGACTTGCTATTTCCATCATTGTGAAATGTTTCCAAGATATTCTTTAATTATGTTAATTACTAACTTAAATCAATGAAGGTAATTTTCATTATTCAGCTGTTTTTTTAACTTTGTTAATGCTACTTTTCACTACTGGCATTATTGTTGCTTTAAATTTTTAGCTATTGTATTTCAGAATTAAATATTCAAAGATAAGATACTTTCATGTGCTGAAATTTGAGTTCAATAATTATCACATATCTGATGGGTACTAAACAAGAGAAAGATGATCAAGAACTTCCATAGCAACAGTTGGGAAATCATTTCACAAGAGATGACTATACATTTACCAGCTCAATTGAAAGAAAGATGCCCATGTGGTTAAAGTGTCAGTGTAGACACTACTGACTAAGTGTCTCAGTCCAATTAAATTCTTAGCAGCTAGAAATAGTTCATGCTATTATAAATTATTATGGACCAAATGGTGCATTAGTATGTAGGATAACCAGTAAAGATAAAAGCTAAGAGCTGAAATTAAATACCCTGGAATGTTGGATGCCATCACTGCGTCCTATGATTCAGATACCAATGGCAAAGACAGGACAATTAATTCAATCCTACTTCAAATTAATTCTGTCTGGGATCTGAAAAGTTAGTTGTCAAACTTTCTTTGGGCAGCATTTTGTAACAATATGAATGTGAATTATCTTTAATTACAGTCTACACATATTACAAAATAGCACAAACCCTGATTAAGTTTCCCTTTAGGTATTGCAATGTGTCTAGAAATTCTAAGCTCTTTGCAGATGTAATTCCAATGCTGTCATAGTATCCCAAAAGAATATTCTTACATCATCTATTTCTAAAATTGAATCAATTTGAGTGATGCCAAAAGGAAGAGAAAATACAGGTTATGGGTTACTTGATTACCCTGAGTAACGATTTCTTCCTCTGGGGCTTGTCTGGCATTTTCCTAGCCAGATGTTCCTGCATCCTGATGGTTTCCTGTTAGGAACCCAGGGCTGTCTCTGCTGCTAAATGCAGTTTCCTCAAGGTCTACCACTTAGAAAAGTCATTTGTTTCACTTGCTTATTTTCCTTTCTTCAGGGTCCTGCACCACATCCCCTCCACCCAGTGGGTGACCCAGAAATGCTCCTGGGAGTAAAATCCCAAATCTTGGCTTAAGCCTGTTTTAGTCAGAGACCACCCAATGTACCGTGCAGGTCATCAGAGTGGGTAGAGGGTCAGAGGTCAGGTCTTCGGCCCTGAGAAGTGAAAATGCAGGGGCCGTGCTGTCCCTTGTACCTCAGGAGAGCGAGGAAGAAACTCGGTCTTCCCTTGCAGGGCTTCCTGCTCCTTGATGCTTCTGTCTCCCCTGGGCTTTCCCAGGAGGCTGCACCCTGCTACTCAGCGGAGCACCTGCCTCCCACCCCTCCTGCCCCCTCAAGCTCACGATCTGCCTCTGAGTGTTACACTAGGATTTTTATTGCTTAAAGTGTCTTAATTCTTTGTCCCCTGACACGCAAGCCCTCTAGCTATCGAAGGGGAGATCATGAGAAACCTTCCGGGGAACCAGAGCACAGAATAACTGTTAGTTGTTTTTTTAAGTCTATGTAAACATTTCAACAGATCATAAAGAAAACATTTATCTCTTCGGTCCTTGCAAGAGAAGTCAAAGGAACTTTTGTTTCGTATCAAGAGCCTGGACATCTCTGTCTGTTGTGACTGGAAAGAGCCTGTTGTACTGAAATCCTGTCATCATGGTAGATTTGATCTTCAGTGGCCAAACATGAAGAATTAAAAGCGTAATTCTTGACTGAACTGGTGGGTGGGTTGAACTTTAGGAGTACATGGGTGGCCATTCCTGGTGCGCGTATCAATGTGACATGAGCCCTGGAGTGGGTCGTCCCTCTCAGCCCTGCTGCTTACTGCCTCCTGGGGCCCAGTGACTGAGGCTCTATGCTAGAACTGTGTATCACCAAATTCGCCATTATAAAGGAAACTTCCTGCTGCAACAACAACAACAAAAAAAAAAAGAAAGAAAGAAAAGGAAAGAAATGCCCCTGCTCAACAAGCAGAGTCTGAACCACAGCAAGAATTACAACCCAGCCCTGAAACAGTAGTCACCATCTCTATCAGAAGCGGGGCTTGAGCTGGAAACAACTGTTTCTCTTCTAAAGTGAATGCATTTTAGGGGTGGGGGTAGTGTGTGCTTCTTGCAGGTTCAGATACTATTGGATATGTATTTATATTTTGGGGTGGAGAGCATAAAAAGAAGCCCTTAGTGTCTTTTGTTTATTTGGGCAGTTGATTTTTTTTTTTTAATCTGACTTCTCACCCCTTTCTTTCTCAATGTAATGGCTAGCCACAAGCAGCAACTCTGCCTCTAGTTCCTTGAGATCACTCAAGGCTTCCTCATACATGACATGCACCCCTTGCTGGTCCTGGGTGTGGATACAGCCAGCTTCCGTGCTGTAGTAGTCATCCTGGTTCTCCACTTCCGAGAACTCCATGAATTGGATGCCGTGGACCTGGAGAAAGAAAGCCAAGCCCAGATGTTACTGGAAAAGGGAGAGCTATATTTTGCCATCCCACATGGACAAGCAGCAGGTTTCTGCTCCCACACAGTGGGCTGCCAGTATGAAGCTGTAAATATTCTGAATGTATAAAAAGCTGTATGTAGAAAACATATATTAACAAAGAACGTTGGCAGGAAGAGGTAGTTCCTGAGGTGGATAACTAGCTGATTAGTTTGTTTTTCTGATAAATTCAGTAGCAACTGGGGAAAGGTAGGGAATAGAGCCCAGAGTGGTCTCTGGAGTCAGAATGCCCGGGTTCAGGTTCCGGCTCTGCCAGGATCTCATCTTGGGCAGGTCATTCAGCTATTCCCAGCCTCCGTTTCCTCATCCGTAACATGGAGACTGTGGAGACACTACAGACTACGTTAGCTGTCAGGAGTATGTGACTCTATGAGCGTAAGGCACTTGGAATCCTTAAACGTTAGGTTAAAAATATTTTTGTTTTAATTCTATAAGTACTTCTAAAATGTATTAGCACAGTTTCGTGGCTTAGTAATGAACTAAGTCGAATAGTGTCCTCCAAAATTCATGTCTACCTGAAACCTGTGAATGAGAACTTACTTGAAAATAGGGTCTTTGCAGATGTAATCAAGTTAAGATGAGGTCATACTGGATTAGGGTGGGCCCTAATTCAATGACTGGGATCCGTATGAAATTTGGAGACAGACACGTGGGGGAGAAGGTCATGTGAAGATGGAGGTAGAGACTAGGGTGAGTCAAGGAATGCTGAGGATTGCCAAGGGTTGCCAGCAACTACCAGGAGCTGAAAGAGGCAAGGAAGTATTGCCTCTAGAACCTTCAGAGAAAGCACGGTCCTGCTGACACCTGGATTTTAGATTTGTGGCTCCAGACTGTGAGAGAATAAATTTCTGTCATTGTGAGCCATGCAGTTTGTGGTACTTTGTTTTGACAATCCTAGGAATCTAACACAAGTAAGAAGTGTTTCCATCATAATGTTATTTTTCTTAGAAAACTGAGTATCTGCTGCTCCCTGAGAATCATTATTTTAATAATAATTTTCACAATTTCAAACTTTTCCACTCTCCTCAAGCCTCGGAACTCCCTCCCTCACAGGCGTAGTCTCCTCTTACTCCCAACAGGAGCTTCTCCGGGCACCCCTCCCCGCCGCCCCCACCGGGGCTCACACCTCTCCCCTCCTGCTTCCTCTGCACAGTGGAGGACAGTGGTGCCCCCTTCTCCAGGACCACTGCCTCCCACCTCAGCAGCATCCCTGCTCCTTCGTGGATATCCCACTCCTCTCCTCTGGACTCTCGACACTGAAATGTGCACACGTCCTTCTCATTGTGAAACTTCCTCACACCCTTCCCAGGTTCCACTGTGTGGCTCTCCTCCCCCTCACTGTCCAGTCTCCCAAGATGTTATCTACACTCTCCATTTCCATTTCTTCACCTCCCACTCTTCAACCCATTGCCATCTGGCCCTTGGCTCCACTAAGCCACCCAAACCACCCTCGCTAAGACCAACAATGACCATTGCTCTACATGCAACAAACTTTCTTTCATCATCTTATGTAATCTCTCAGGAGCATCTGATACAATTTAGTGCTTCCTGACTCTTGACTCACTCTCTTCTCTGGGCATCTGGGACTCCACGTTTTCCCTGATTTTGCCTAGTTTCCGGTCATTCTGTCTGACACTGTGAAGTGTATTTATTTTTCTCTACCAAGTCATTAAATGACGGCCACTCTCAAGCCACCTCCTGGGACTTCCTCTTTTCCTCCTCTGTTCCTTCCCTACGAGGTGGCAGACACTTTCATAGCTGAGATTACCACCTTTAGACCATTTGCTCCCCCAGTTTATGCCTCCAATCCCGACCCCCTAGAGCTCCAGACCTGCACATCCAATTACCTATTTGGCAACTGCTCCTGAGCATCTCAAAGCCCACTTAATTTTAACAGTGATCAAATCATTAAATCTTCCCCCCACAAACCCAGGCTATCTGCAGCTGATTTTACTAAATAGCACTACCACCCATCCACTTCCTCTAGCATGAATCATTCATGACATCTCTTTCTGCTTCACGCTACTTGTCCAATCTATCACCAAGTTCTGTTAGTTTTACTTCCTGTCTCGCAAATTCATCCACTTCTGATATAGGACGTGGGGCAGGGAAGTGCTGAGTAGAGAAGGGTGAGGGCTCCACCCTTGGGCCTATGCCCTCAGACCTAAGTGAGAACAGGTACTCCTGTTTTTGTGCCTGAATGTTGCATTTTCCAAGACCACTCTGGCCCGCCATCCTTTGCCCATATAAACCTGAGACCTTAGCGGGCACACACACAAGAAGCTGAATGTTGAGAGAAGTAGAGAACAGAGCAGTAGAGAGAGGCAGAGAGCGATGCAGAGCAGCAGAGAGCAGCCGGGCAGCATGACGGAGAAGGAGGGAAGAGGCCTCTGAATGTCCAGAGGAGTTCTGCTGAAAACAGCTGAACTCCAGGGGAAGATTGTCTCCCCCACCCCTCCACCTTCTGGCTCCCCATCCATGTCACTGAGAGCCACCTCCACCACTCAGTAAAACCTTGCACCCATCCTTGGAGGCCGCGTGTGATCCGATTCTTCTGGGACACTGGGCAAGAGCTCGGGATACAGAGGGCTGTCACACTGGCCCTCTGCCCTTGTGAAAAGGCAGAGGGTTCATTGAGCTGATTAGCACTCAAGCCTAATCAGCTGCAGACAGCAAAGCTGAAAGGGCTTTGTAACACTGGGGTTGCAGGCACCCACTGCTAGACACTAAGTGGGGCTGAGAGCACAAAGCACTTGCCCTGGCCTCTGCACCTGCCCGTCTGCATGCTACTCCTTGGTGTTTAAGCTGCAGGGCCATTGAACAGGTGAGCCACATCCCTGCTGCACATTCTACGAGGGGAAATCAGGGAACTTTCCCGTTTCACTTCTTCCCATCTCCACTACCTACTACTCTAGTCCAAGCTATTATATGTCATGAGGACTAGTCTAGGAGCTTCTAAACTGGCCTAGCCTCTTAAATGGTCTATGCATGACTCCTCTGGCCTGGGCTTTCCCTCCTCTCCATTTTACTCACTGCTGGCTGGGGAACTTTTACAAATGCAATTCTGATTGTGTCATTCCCCCTTCCCCCTTTTATATCCCTAAGAGGCTTCCCATGGGCCACAGAATAGAGGAAAACTCCTTAACAGGGCCATACAATCTGGTCCCATGCGTATCTCTCTAGTCCAGTGTTTTTCAGCTGAGAGTGATTTTGCCCCCCAGAGGACATTTGGCCATGTCTGGAGATACTTCTGGTTGTCATGACTTAGTGGGAGGTACTGCTGGCATCTGGGTAGAGGCCAGGGATGCTGCTAAATATCCTATAATGGACAGGAGAGCCTCTCACAACAAAGAATTATCAGGCCCCAAATATCAATAGTGCCAAGACTGAGAAACTCAGAGCTAAGTTCCATTGTGCATCACCTTCCACCTCGTGTCTGTGCCCCAACTATTCCTGTCTTTTGGTTTCTTATGGGTGCCATGTTCCTTCTGGCCACAGGTCCTTTGCACAGGCTGTCCCCACTCTGTGGAAAGGTCTCCCTCTCCTTTTTACCTAATTAAAGACTTTTCATTTTCCAACCTCAGCTCAATCATCACTTCCTTAGAAACCCTCCTGCCCAGCCTCCCTATAGTACCAAGGAGCTCTCAGTCTCTCTTTTGAGGAAATTGATGTCCCTGTTTTACATTATTTGTGTGATTTTTGACCAATATTTGTCTCACCCACTGGATTGCAAAGTACTGTAAGGGTAAGGAACATGTCTATTTTTATTCACCACCTATCACAGGGCCTAATACATAGTAGGTGCCTATCTGTTAAATAAAAGAATGTATGAATGGCTTTTATATTTGTGCATATAGGTTTCTTTGACTCTATGATTTGTAATCTCTACTTGTGCTTTTAACATATGCCCGTCAAAAATCCTGTGTTTTGCCTTCATAGATTCTGATCTCATGTCACCACAGCCTAATACATACATTCTATATGGGGGGATAATGCTCAGGTGGAAAGTGGCTCTTGGAGGACAAAAAAACATCCTATTATTTTTATATATAAAGCACAGATACACACATTGCACATAAGCAAATCTATGGCATATCTCTGGTGTTAGCATTTCTTCGTAGGAGGAGAGTAGGGAAAAAAGTTGAAAAAGGATATTTGTTGGGGAAGCCATAATGGAAAAGAGGTTAAAAAACACTGGCCTAGATATCTATCATCTCTCTCTCTCTCTCTCTCTCTCTCTCTCTCTCTCTTTCTCTCTCTCTCTACTATCTATAGATCTATCTATCTATTCTTATTATTGTAAAATACACATAACATAAAATTTACCATCTTAGTTTTTCATGTACAATTTAGTGACATTAAGTACATTCACATTGTTGTGCAACCATCACCACCCATCTCCAGAATTATTTTCATCTTGCAAAACTAAAAATCTGTACCCACCAGACAAGAATTCCCCATTTTCGCATCCTCTGAGCCCCTGGCAACCACCGTTCTACTTTCTATCTCTATGAATTTGACTACTCTAGGTATCTCATGTAATGTCCTTTTGTGACTGGCCTATTTTACTTAGCATAATCCCATCAAGATTCATACATATTACAGCATGTGTCAGAATTTCCTTCCGGTTTCAGGCTGAATTATATTCCATAATAACTATGGAACTACCACATCTTATTTCATCTGTTGATAGACACTTGAGTTGCTTCCACATTTTGGCTATTATGGATAATGCTGCTATAAATATAGGTGTACAAATATCTTTTTGAACCCCTGCTTCCAATTATTTTGAGTATATAGCCAGAAGTAAAATTTCTGAATAATACAGTAATTCTATTTTAAATGTTTGAGGAATCTGCATACTGTTTTTCATAGTAGTTACACCACTTAACATTTCTACCAACAGTGCACAAGGGTTCCAGTTTTTCCACATCCTCACCAACATTTGTTA